AAATCCACTAATATCTAAATTATCTTCCCTCACACTCCCTGACATCCCACGACGCCACCTTAAGCGTAAATGGCCCAGAGATCTTTTCAACCAAATGTAAATATATAAATCGAAGGTCGAACACGGTTATAAAAGATAACACGGTAACTGATAAGCCGTACACACACCGTATGGCGGTAAACACACAGTTTATTCAAATTTTAAAGGATTTTCTTGTGAACAAAAAAATAAAACTCATAACAAAAAAATAATTAATAAACACATTCAATCGAATAGTATGTAGTTTACTCATTTCCTTCGAAAAAATACAATTTTAAATAGTAAGAGTATTACAAAATGCGATGCTGTAAATATTTTATACAGCAACATGTACGATATAAAATACAGTATGTATATATAGGTATTGTTAATTAAATAAAAGTTGGTTATAAAATTACTTTTAACGAAACAATATAACATAGTTTATTATTAGAATCTGACGATTTGTTTAAGGATTATTAAACACTCAATTACGATAGTTAAAAAAAAACAAAAATTTACAACCCAATCCCAACTGTGTGACACTAATAGTGTAGGTATCTCTATATTAGCATACATTATTTTATCAAGCTGGATTTGTCATGCAATATCATGCTAACTACATTCGTCACCGCTGGGTGGCGACTGCATCTCTAACCTTAGTCAGTCAGGTCGCGGGTCGGCAGCGCGAACCGGTCGCCGCCGCCGTTAGCTGACCACTACTTCCTATGTGGATACCGTTTCGACGATACATTTTACCGGACACTTTTTTGTTTAGAAATTAATTTGATGCAAAGCGTCATATTTAATTTTTTCTTTTCAATATTTCTATAAAACAAAATGCAATTTAATTCCATATTACAATTTTTGTTCGAGGACGTAGGCATTACAGTCGGCCTAACCCGTGCACAGCCGCCTTTAATGGAGCCACATTGAACGACCAGGTGGTTGTGTACTCTGGGCCGGTGATAAAGCCTTCGTCCTCGTCGCGGCGCAACCGTCGAGGTATCCGGAAAACCCCACGTAGTAAACATAAGTGACATTTATAAATATTAGAAACATTTTCTTTTCTACATTTAATTTGATTGATGTTTTAGGCTGTTACCAGTGTGGGGTCGATGGCCACCTCGCCAGGAACTGCTCGGCATCAGGTCCGTTGGCAACTCATTCTGGCAGTCCTACACCAAGTCCTGCTGGGGTGTCTCAGGTATTGATGTCACCATCGCCGTCACTGAACGATCATTCGGAGTGGACGAGTGATTGTTCAGAGCGACGACGGAGACAGCAACATCTGGGACACCGAATGGGTCGACAACGGACCTGACGACCATTGTGACCCACCTGGATATTAACAATCAGACGGGAAATCCAGATGAGGCAGACAATCCACAACAAGAAGTCTAGACGGAGGACAGTGATCAAAATAATTTGTCCATAAGGTAAGATAAATTTATGTGCAGGATAATTTAATAATACAATTTCTTTTAAAAACCATTGAAACTTCATTATTTTTCTATTATAAAATAATAAAAAATTAACTATAACTTTAGAAAACTTTCATTTATTTTCCAAAAAAAAAAAGTGTTTTTTCCAAAACACTCTCATATATTATATATATATATATATATATACTTTCTTGTGTTGATATTTACAATAATACTTTATAAGCAATAAGTATTGTATTTGAATTTTTTTTGTTTTTTAGTGCTTTGTCCTCCGGCTAGACTTCCTGTTTTTTTATATACAAAAAAATAAAAAAAACAAAAAAATAGAAAAAAACCAAAAAATTATATTTTGTGATTTGTTAACTTATAGTACTGAGATGTTAAATACTGTTAGGAATTTGTTTTATTTGTTTTTAAACACAATGATTTCCATTGTTTTCATGTGTTTTTATACAAAGTAGAATGTTAAATACTGTTATACATTTTTAATTTTATTATGTGATTTGTTAACTCATAAGACTGAGATGTTAAATACAGTTAGGAATTTGTTTTATTTGTTTAAACTGTTTTAAAACACAATGATTTCCATTGTTTTCATGTGTTTTTATACAAAGTAGAATGTTAAATACTGTTCTGTTAGATCTCGTACCTATTTTGATTTTATTTACTTGTTATTTTCCTTACATTGATATTTTTAAATTTATATAAGAATTTGTAAGTAAAATACAATGATTTTCATGTGTCATAATGTTTTCATATTTTCATAAATAGATTAAAAATAGTAGGAATGTAGTTTTTAGACGGGCCAAAAAACCATTTTGTAGCAAATTATCCAAAGTTTTAGATAAAATAATTAATGAGTATTACTGGTGATACTCAGTAGCTATTTCATAAAATAGTTGAGTGCATTTTTGATACTCAAGGCGAGCGTGGCAAGTGTATGTTTTTTTTTTATTCTGATACATTATACTATACTTTTGATTCATTAATTTTCCATTTTTTTTGGTTTTGTGTTTTCTTAGAAGCTATAAACTTGATTTTTTCAATGTTCGATTTGATTTTTAATAATCGCTTTATCCTTTTTTTTTTTTATTATTACTACTTTACCTAAACATTTTAGTCGTCAATTAAAAGTTTGGAAGTCGACATTTTTTTTGACACCCCCTTATGAATATTTTACGAGTATTCTTATAAATTGTATTTCTGTATGAGATTTATTTAATAAATTTGCGACCCCCAAGCCCTCAATTACGGTCCTGTCTATGATTTAACTCTCAAATGTCTGATTTTTTTGTATATTTCTAACAAATATATTTCAAACTAATTTAAACTCACCTAACTTTTTGTTTATTGTAAAATAAATATAAGAAATGTGACAATATTTATTTTGTGTGTAATTAAAATTTACAAATGTGATTACTTGTTTAGGAAGGTAAAAGGGGAAAACAGAAGATAATAGAAGATAAATCGGAGAAGCAACACGGTGCAAAAACATAAAATTTACTGGTAAAAACATGTTATATGTAATAAATGTAAAATTAATTTGTGTTTTACACCAAAAAAAAATTGTTTTTCTGTTTTCCATTGTAATTAATTTTAATTTGCAACCTCATTTATGTGTAATATAAACTAAAAGTAAATACAACTTCAGGGAAAGGCTTCGGTCAATGTGTAAATAATGGAGGACGCCATTTAATTGATGTATTGTTTAAAACCAAGTAATTTTTTTTTTTAATGTAAAATGGCATAGAATTTGTAACTCAAAAATAAAAAAAAAATTTTCTGGATCTTTGTTTGTTAGTTTGTAATTGCCTTTTGAAATCAGGGAGGTTTTTTTGCCGGACCCTGTATTTGGCATTCTCGTATTATTTTAAACCGTAAATCCCAATATCCATTCCAATGGACATACCTGTAACTTCTAAGCATTAAAAATAAAAATTAGAATATCATATTGAAAGGTCATAAGTTCCAGATATGAACACGGAAAATTGTTTTTTCTTCAAAAAACTTAATTCGGTTATAAAAGAAGGTTAAGCAAGTAAAATATTTGAGGAGGCGAAGATTTGATAGGATCAACACAGTTCCAGGTGCACAGTTAATGTGAAAATTCACAAAAAATTCGATTCTGAATAGCATACCTCAATTTATTGAAGGTTTACCCAAATTTATATTTCTTATTACTTTTTTCCAAGATAGAAATGAAAATTTTAATTTTAAAATTTCTTGCATAGAATTTATATTGATATATAATAATCTTATATTCAGATAGTACTTAATATTTAATAATATTATTACATTAATAATACATTAATTAATTATAATAACGATTTCATAAACAACATCTGTTGAAAATTAAAACGTTTAAAAATTTGGATTCGTTTCACATGTTCCATATTTTAGAAATTAAAAACTCATGATAGCATCAGAAAATGTTTTTAGTTTTTTTTTTTAAAAATAAGCAAGATATTTTTCACTGCTTTTTAAATTAGAAAAAGCTGCATTTAGCAGAATATATGTTTAAAAAATATTGAAGTTACCATAACTAGCCCAAGATTATAAAGAACAAAATTCAACACATTTGATTGAACAAAATGAGTGAAGTTCCATCCCTAGTTCCCTTTTAAAATAATATTTGTGAATTAAATATAAATTTAATGTAGAAACAGTATTATAAATTTTTAATTCTAGGAGTCATTGTTTTGATGTATAATATATATATATTTATATATTTAGACATAATTTTGATTCTAATAGTCTGTGATTAACCAGTCAAAGTTGAAAGAGTAGACAATGTTTCATGTCTGGTCTTTGCAATACCCGATTTCAACAATAGAGTAATTACGTTTATTCATTATGGCGTGGTTCCGCTTTTGTTCTTACAGTTTAGTTGGCCTGCGGTCGGTATGTGGCTTGACAACGATATAGCGTAGTGTTTAGAAGTGTGGCTTCTAAATACTGAATAAATATTTATAAATTAACCATGGAGAGCAGAATTAATGCATTTCATTAACAACAATATTGTATATTTTCGAATCAAGTTTGTTTTTTAAGTTTAGCGATATTAAAGCATACATAGCATTTAAAGCGTTGTTACAAACACTAATACAGTAAGTGAAATTCAATAGCAGTATGGTTTTATAAATGTTAGTGTATTTTTTTTTCAAATATTCGCATAGATACTCTTTTTGCTTTAAATTTTGTATAATGGTACCTTAATTGTTTTAGCACCGTTACTTTTATCAACAAAAACTTGTAACTCATGTAGAGCTTTCTACGTAAATAATATTATCATCGCAAGACTGTGAAACATTTTGAGTTTTGCCAATCGCTAGGAAATACACATACGTTTACTGCTACCCATTGAAATAATGTATGTTATTTAAACAAAGCACAGAAGTTTATAAAATTATTTTGTTTTGTAATAACAAGCGACTGTAAGTGACTTATAAAAAACGTTTTTTAAAGACCTATGTGAATTAGTACATGTTTTGCGATGACTCGTTCTGTGCCGGTTGCACTGCACCGACGGGGCGTCCGGTGTTCAGACAATGGGAAATACGACGCTATAGAAATCACAATAAAGATTATTATAGCTTATGCACACTGCTCAATTTGTATTAATTGTCCCGGTCTGGAAACGAGGTCAAACGGATATAACAACAAAGGGAACCCGTTGATAAATTGAAGGGTCGATGAATACTAGCGTTTCTCGCAGATGGATTAATAAACGGCAATAATTGTCAGGACGACTTTGCCTGTCAAACAATTATTACTAGAGGGGTCGGCTGAGGTTTGTGTCACACACCAGCTCTGGCAATCGTCATTCGATCACGATGGCTTTACTCGTTCGGTCACGAATTTCTTTTGCCCATTTTTAGTGAATTTCCCATCATAAAAACAGTTTCGTTTGTGTGTATTCGACAACGTCATCATGTTCAAAATCTATATTGTCTTATCGGTTGCACTGCTATGGCTTTCGTTGGACATTGGTACCGCCACGGGTGGATCTGGGCTTCAACACGAATATACTCACGACGACTATGTTTATGCCGTGCTATCAGCAAACGTTGTCAACTTTACCATCGTCGATAAAAACCAATACGTCGAAATTACATTGTTAGTAGAAGGCGTAGGTCTCACGAAAGATGTAATGGTGCGTACGACTTCAGCTTTTAAGGGGCGTGGATCATTATGCTTCACAGATCAACAATATAAGTATGCCGACTCCGAGAGAAACTCGTTTGAAATAGTAAGTCCGACATTTATGTTTTTAATACTTCGAATATGAATAATATCGGCTTGTACATTTTTTAAATACCATCGTACCCGTGGAGCATTACTTTTAACAAAACAATTCCAGTTAGTTTAATACTGATATATTCTGTTCGTTCATATAGTATAAGATATAAAAATGTGTCAAAATTGTTTTTAGTCAGTAGTTTCGTTAGGTCTAGTTTAGATGACAATTGTATTGATAAAATACGTTGGTATACGCTTTAAACACTTGGTCGTACTGTTAAACGTAAAAATGCTATGCTTGTGCGTTACGTTTTTTTTATTATTATTTTGAAAAAAAAAATCAAAAATTAATTCTAAAAAGTCGCTAAAGGTCAAAAACATTTTTTATAATTCATATTCTATTGAATATGAATCATTATAGTTGACGTCTTATTGTAACAAAAGAAAATATAACATTTGTATAAGATATTAGGCCCTCATATCTCGTCAGTTGCCTTCGCCCTATCCTTTATAAATAAATAAATATATAAAAATATATATATATATATATGAATATTAATTGTAATACCCTTAATGATTTTTAGTTGCAAGCAAATGGTACACGAATGTATTTAACCAACAAGTTGAAGATCGATGAAAATGTCGTGGAAGGAAAGTTGTTCCTGTGCCTTAACAGACCACGGTTATCGACCAGAAATTCGTCACATGGTCGTTGGGTACATCAGGGTGATTTTGGTTGGATCGTCTGGCCTGTACCACCGATGTATCTGTTTCGTAGATATGCATACGAAGTGTGAGTATGTTATAGATAAACTTTACATATCGTTAGTAGTATTTCACTAATGAGTGAAATAGTAACGCATTAAGTTACTTAAGGAATATTAAATAATTACCAAGTTCAAATAATATCTTCCTGTTTTGGTGATAATTATTTGTTGATCAAGAAAAATTTAACTTCCCGTAAAGATAATTGCGCAAAATCCGTGACTTCGATTCTACAATGCTGGCTATTTTATTATTTCAATTTATATTGAAAATAGACGACTATTATTTAAGACAATTTTTTATTTTAATTTTCATTTCCATACCTGTTATTCAGCCTAATCCCCTAGGACTGAACCTGGGCAATTTTTATTTAAATAACAAGTTGTTTGAAATTATTACTTGAACATTGTATTTGTTAATATAATGCTCAGGTTCGATTGCAATATTCGTGCACCGATGGTAATCATTAATCTTGATTAAATAATTGTCGGTTTACAGCACCGAACCTGCAAGTGAATCTAACTCATTTGAGACAACAACAAGCGACTATGGAAAAAAATACAAACATCGCGGTAACAAGTTACATTTTTTAAATGACACGGCTTGGTCCTATACAAAAACGAACCGGACGAACACTTTAGTCACCGGTAATGTCCTCAGGTGCAAATTCCTCGTCAAAGCCGTTAAAAAGGTAGACTTTTTTTACGCTCGAGTCTCGTTCTGTCAAACATCAGAAAACTATCAGATTCTATACATTATATAAACTCATATATGTTTTTTACAATCACCTTTTTTCAGCCAAACTTATTGGACGACTACAGCAAGACGGAACCCTCAAACCTTCAGCGTGAAACAGTTTATTTATGTGAGCACTAGTCGGCCGTAGCGGATAAATACAGAAAAAGCGATAATAGATGTAAGTAAAGGTTTTAGGTTTTCTTTTCGTTTTAGCTGTAACTGTCCATTTTATTTGACGTTTTACAATTATTTCCCTAGCCTTAAGTGTTCTTCAGGCGGTTAACTACTTCAAAATGATTTGTGAATTAAAAAAAAAAATTAACGAATTTTAGTAATTATTTAAAAGTGTAAACAATTTAAAAATCAAAATAGAAGAAGAAAAGGGGGTTTAAAAATACCGTTTATGCACCTTTATTTTATACAGCTGATTAATAATATAGCTTCTTGATGACACTTCATCTTTCGACTATTCACTGAACAATTTTTTTTTTTCAAAACGCCGAAAATTTTTAATAATGCTAATTATGCCTGTACTCGAATTGCATCCAAATTTAGTTGTTTGAGAGGGTACCCTCAAGACACACATATCACTTACAGTTTTTTAGAAATTATATTCACTATTAGACTACATGCACAAGTATTCTACTCATTCTAAAAATCAATTGTGTTATTATATTTATCAACGGAACCCGTTGATAAATTGGAGGGTCGATGAATACTAGCGTTTCTCGCAGGATGGATTAATAAACGGCAATAAGTGTCAGGACGACTTTACCTGCCAAACAGTTATTACTAGAGGGGTCGGCTGAGGTTTGTGTCACACACCAGCTCTGGCAATCGTCATTCGATCACAAAGACTTTACTCGTTCGGTCGCGAATTTCTTTTGCCCATTTTTAGTGAATTTCCTACCAAAAAAACAATTCATCATGTTCAAAATCTATATTGTCATATCGGTTGCAGTGCTATCGCTTTGGTTGGACATTGGTACCGCCACGGGTGGATCTCGGCTTCAACACGAATATACTCACGACGACTATGTTTATGCCGTGCTATCAGCAAACGTTGTCAACTTTACCATCGTCGATAAAAACCAATACGTCGAAATTACATTGTTAGTAGAAGGCGTAGGTCTCACGAAAGATGTAATGGTGCGTACGACTTCAGCTTTTAAGGGGCGTGGATCATTATGCTTCACAGATCAACAATATAAGTATGCCGACTCCGAGAGAAACTCGTTTGAAATAGTAAGTCCGACATTTATGTTTTTAATACTTCGAATATGAATAATATCGGCTTGTACATTTTTTAAATACCATCGTACCCGTGGAGCATTACTTTTAACAAAACAATTCCAGTTAGTTTAATACTGATATATTCTGTTCGTTCATATAGTATAAGATATAAAAATGTGTCAAAATTGTTTTTAGTCAGTAGTTTCGTTAGGTCTAGTTTAGATGACAATTGTATTGATAAAATACGTTGGTATAAGCTTTAAACACTTGGTCGTACTGTTAAACGTAAAAATGCTATGCTTGTGCGTTACGTTTTTTTAATTATTTTGAAAAAAAAAATCAAAAATTAATTCTAAAAAGTCGCTAAAGGTTAAAAACATTTTTTATAATTCATATTCTATTGAATATGAATCATTATAGTTGACGTCTTATTGTAACAAAAGAAAATATAACATTTGTATAAGATATTAGGCCCTCATATCTCGTCAGTTGCCTTCGCCCTATCCTTTATAAATAAATAAATATATAAAAATATATATATATATATGAATATTAATTGTAATACCCTTAATGATTTTTAGTTGCAAGCAAATGGTACACGAATGTATTTAACCAACAAGTTGAAGATCGATGAAAATGTCGTGGAAGGAAAGTTGTTCCTGTGCCTTAACAGACCACGGTTATCGACCAGAAATTCGTCACATGGTCGTTGGGTACATCAGGGTGATTTTGGTTGGATCGTCTGGCCTGTACCACCGATGTATCTGTTTCGTAGATATGCATACGAAGTGTGAGTATGTTATAGATAAACTTTACATATCGTTAGTAGTATTTCACTAATGAGTGAAATAGTAACGCATTAAGTTACTTAAGGAATATTAAATAATTACCAAGTTCAAATAATATCTTCCTGTTTTGGTGATAATTATTTGTTGATCAAGAAAAATTTAACTTCCCGTAAAGATAATTGCGCAAAATCCGTGACTTCGATTCTACAATGCTGGCTATTTTATTATTTCAATTTATATTGAAAATAGACGATTATTATTTAAGACAATTTTTTATTTTAATTTTCATTTCCATACCTGTTATTCAGCCTAATCCCCTAGGACTGAACCTGGGCAATTTTTATTTAAATAACAAGTTGTTTGAAATTATTACTTGAACATTGTATTTGTTAATATAATGCTCAGGTTCGATTGCAATATTCGTGCACCGATGGTAATCATTAATCTTGATTAAATAATTGTCGGTTTACAGCACCGAACCTGCAAGTGAATCTAACTCATTTGAGACAACAACAAGCGACTATGGAAAAAAATACAAACATCGCGGTAACAAGTTACATTTTTTAAATGACACGGCTTGGTCCTATACAAAAACGAACCGGACGAACACTTTAGTCACCGGTAATGTCCTCAGGTGCAAATTCCTCGTCAAAGCCGTTAAAAAGGTAGACTTTTTTTACGCTCGAGTCTCGTTCTGTCAAACATCAGAAAACTATCAGATTCTATACATTATATAAACTCATATATGTTTTTTACAATCACCTTTTTTCAGCCAAACTTATTGGACGACTACAGCAAGACGGAACCCTCAAACCTTCAGCGTGAAACAGTTTATTTATGTGAGCACTAGTCGGCCGTAGCGGATAAATACAGAAAAAGCGATAATAGATGTAAGTAAAGGTTTTAGGTTTTCTTTTCGTTTTAGCTGTAACTGTCCATTTTATTTGACGTTTTACAATTATTTCCCTAGCCTTAAGTGTTCTTCAGGCGGTTAACTACTTCAAAATGATTTGTGAATTTAAAAAAAAAATTAACGAATTTTAGTAATTATTTAAAAGTGTAAACAATTTAAAAATCAAAATAGAAGAAGAAAAGGGGGTTTAAAAATACCGTTTATGCACCTTTATTTTACACAGCTGATTAATAATATAGCTTCTTGATGACACTTCATCTTTCGACTATTCACTGAACAATTTTTTTTTTTTCAAAACGCCGAAAATTTTTAATAATGCTAATTATGCCTGTACTCGAATTGCATCCAAATTTAGTTGTTTGAGAGGGTACCCTCAAGACACACATATCACTTACAGTTTTTTAGAAATTATATTCACTATTAGACTACATGCACAAGTATTCTACTCATTCTAAAAATCAATTGTGTTATTATATTTATCAACGGAACCCGTTGATAAATTGGAGGGTCGATGAATACTAGCGTTTCTCGCAGGATGGATTAATAAACGGCAATAAGTGTCAGGACGACTTTACCTGCCAAACAGTTATTACTAGAGGGGTCGGCTGAGGTTTGTGTCACACACCAGCTCTGGCAATCGTCATTCGATCACAAAGACTTTACTCGTTCGGTCGCGAATTTCTTTTGCCCATTTTTAGTGAATTTCCTACCAAAAAAACAATTCATCATGTTCAAAATCTATATTGTCATATCGGTTGCAGTGCTATCGCTTTGGTTGGACATTGGTACCGCCACGGGTGGATCTCGGCTTCAACACGAATATACTCACGACGACTATGTTTATGCCGTGCTATCAGCAAACGTTGTCAACTTTACCATCGTCGATAAAAACCAATACGTCGAAATTACATTGTTAGTAGAAGGCGTAGGTCTCACGAAAGATGTAATG